GCAAAACCCAATGAGCTCTCTTATTTGAAACTGCACGATGCCCCTGAAATCCCAGAACCAAGACTAAGAAAGTAAAAGCAGTTTCGGGTACCTACCCAGCTGACATACGGAGAAAAACTCTGCTTCACAGAGGCCCGATATAAAAATTCAGCTCTTAAATGAATAATAAAATAATTACCACCCAGTGCAGTGCCATGATTGCAAAACCCAATGAGCTCTCTTATTTGAAACTGCACGATGCCCCTGAAATCCCAGAACCAAGACTAAGAAAGTAAAAGCAGTTTCGGGTACCTACCCAGCTGACATACGGAGAAAAACTCTGCTTCACAGAGGCCCGATATAAAAATTCAGCTCTTAAATGAATAATAAAATAATTACCACCCAGTGCAGTGCCATGATTAACAGGCCTGCTCAGTGACTTAACCTGTCGAAATAAGTTGATGGCAGCAATTTTCAGCAGGGAGCTTGAGTTCCCGACAATAGTTCCAGATAAGATGGTTACTCACCTTTGTAACTGTTGTTCTTTGAGATGCGTTACTCATATCTATTCCAGTTGAGGAATGCGCTAGTTTTACCTTAGCTGCTACCGCTGGGTCAGCTGTGGAGCCCTCTGGAGTAATGTCAGTGCAGCGCCCTACATATGACCCTGCCAACCCAATCATAGGTATTTCCCTCGACAATAGTTCCAGATAAGATGGTTACTCACCTTTGTAACTGTTGTTCTTTGAGATGCGTTACTCATATCTATTCCAGTTGAGGAATGCGCTAGTTTTACCTTAGCTGCTACCGCTGGGTCAGCTGTGGAGCCCTCTGGAGTAATGTCAGTGCAGCGCCCTACATATGACCCTGCCAACCCAATCATAGGTATTTCCCTAGAAATAGACCACCCAACCTGTGGCCCTGGTGAGAGTGACATCCTCCCCTCCATCAACAAGAACTGCCCCGCTCAAGCCAGTGGTCCAGGTAAGGGTAGACCCAGACCTCACTATGCCAAAGGACGGCAGCCACCACTGCTATACACTTGATAAACACTCTGGGCGCCATAGAGAACCTGAAGGGGAGGGCCACAACCTGGACGTGCGACTATCCTGCCAGGAACCTGAGATACCATCTGTGGGATGGTCTAACCGCAATGTGAAAATAAGCATCCTTAAAATAAGCTGAGGGCAGCATACCAATCCCCTGGGTCCAGGGGAGGAATGATGGAGCCCAGGGTGACTACCCAAAACTTGTAACTGGTCCAAACTTGTTGAGCTCCTGGAGGTCCCGGATAGGGCAAAGGCCCCCTTCACTTTTGGGACAAGGAAATAATGGAAGTAGAAGCCTTTGCCTCTGAAATCCTGAGGACCCTCTTTGACTGTACCCAAGCCCAGAGCATGCACGCCTCCTGAAGTAAAAGCTGCTCATGAGAGGGGTCCCTGAAGAGGGACAGGCTGGCGTGTAGGAAGGCAGAGGGGAAAAGAACAGAAAAGAGTCTCCCATTTCCATCAGCTGAAGGATCCAGCAGTCCGAAGCAATGGATGCCTAAGCATGGTGAAAATTTGACAAATGATTGAGGAAAGACAGGGAAAGGATCTGGTGACATCATTACTTTGTCCTTGGGCCTGCCTTTACAAGGGATGTTTGGACCCCGAAGAAGGCTTTGTCCAACCGATTGCTGCCAGAACGGCCCCAAACAGTTTGTGACAAGAGTATTTCAGGCATCGACAGGAGCAGTTGGGCAGAGACTTAAAAGGGCTTGTGCCACATAGGAGTGTGCATGCCCATGGACTTCATAGCATTCCTGGAGTCCTTAAGGCTATGGAGCCAGCAGATTGTCTGCTCCACAAAGAGGCTGACTCCACTGAAGGGAAGGTCGTGTATTGTTCGCTGCTCCTCGGAAGGGAGTTGCAGCCAAATCCCCAGCTTCCAGGGAAGCCTGAAGGCAAGTCTTCAAAACAGCCTTGCCATCCTGGACCTGCTGGGGCAAGAAGTCCTTAAGTTTAAGGATGGAGACCCACAAGTACGAGGGCACCCACGACAATAGTGCCTGCCACCATTTCATCAGGGGAGGAACTCGAGAAGGACATCGGAGGAGTATCCTGACTGGTCCTGTGGGAGAGGTGGAGTACCCGGCTGGTCCACAAGATGTGGTGTTGCAGGTGGTTCCTGATCCTGAGGCGGGGAGAGGGTGGACTAGCTGTCACCCTTGTAGGGACTCTGGAGTGGGAAAGGACAGAGGCAGCAGGCAGTGAGCCCTGGGCCTGGTGGAACGCCCAAAGGATCCAAAATTGCCACTGAGGAAGCCACTGCTGGGGCAGTGAGGTCTGTGGGCGTTGAATGGCTTGAGGCCACAGAAGCATCTCTCCAGGGTGAGGGTGAGCTTGAGAGAGACGGCCATGGCAGAGCAGTACCAGCCCGTGCTAACAGGTGGGAACCAGCCGGTGGCAGGACTGCGGTCAGTGCTGACTGCAAGCAGGCAGCACTCTGTGAGATCCAACATGGGGAGAGGGACTGTGCTGAGAATATGGGGTGGAAGGCCAATTCTGAGACTGTGATGCCCTCTCTGAGGAGTGGCAGTGAGAGAAAGGTCCATGCTCCAAAGCGCAAAGCCGGACCTCAGTACGGGGCTGGGAAGAACCCCTCTGCACCAGAGGTCGGTGCCAAGAGGGAGGGAAATGTTGACAATGCTCGCATGAGGCAGAACTCAAGCGGTGTTGGGATCTCTGGTGCCATGAGACCTCTTGGTGCCGACCATGGGAAGGGTGGGAGCACAGCAAAGATCCCGAAGCCAACCAAGGTCTGCTCTCCACAGAAGCCCTTGAGTGGGAATGGCTCTCTGAGAGCAGTGCCATGAGTGCAAACGAGGCTGCGAGTCAGACCAGCAGTGACCAGTGACATGACGGGACTCTGAGTGACACCGGGACTCCAAGCAGGGAGATGCTGTGGCTGGAATTGGTTGGCCCATCATGGCTGACTTCCTCCGTGAAGGCTGGCGGGAAATAGAGGCCTTGTCCCATGATGGGGACTGTGTCATCTCGATGAGGTAATGCACAGCCTCAAAGGCACCTGGTGTGGAGAATGGGCTCATCAGCAATGGTTCGCCCCTTGCGCAGACCAAGAGGATAGGGCTTGGTTGATGGGAAAGGCACAGCAGTTCAGTGCCACGTGTCCGGGAGCACTCAGGGCTGATGCCGGAGTTAGGGAGGGAGCAGCTGGTGCTGGATGTGCCGATGCCAAGGACTTGGCCATTTTGGAAGGCCACATCAAGGAATGAGAATGGCATCGAGTAGACCCCACAAGGGAGCAATGGTACCGCGAAGGCCTCCTCTTCAGTTTCGGGACCAGCGCCGAAATGGTCTGAGGTCACAGTGTGGGTTCCATGAGGAGCTGCTTTAAGCGAAAGTCTCACTCTTTTCTGGCGTGTGGGTTGAAGGCCTTGCAGATCTTGCACTTATCAGCCTGGTGAGCTTCCCCAGGCACTGGAGCCACGAGTAGGGGGGAGGGGTTGCTCGCTGGCATAGAATTGAGGCAAGACCTGTAGGGTTTGAGCCCTGTAACTTTGGCATAACCCAGGCACCAAAGGGAGCAGAAGCGTGGAGGTGAAATCCCCTTCGTCTTCAGCTATTAACTTAACACTGATTTAACAACTGCCGACTAACTATTTACACAACTAAGAGCTGGAAGCACTAGGGGTCTGAGGCATGTGCAAAGCAAGAGAGCCAGTTTCAACAGCCATCACTGGAGGTAAGAAGGAACTGAGAGGTGGCTGGGTCGGTAGGCTCATAAACAGTGCGCCGCACTAGTGCTACTCCAGGGGGCTCCACAGCCAACCCAACAGGTAGTGGCTAGGGTAAAATTTTCCAGCAGCCATGAATGCAGCGCACACACCCCTTAATTGGAGAAGATATGAGCAAGCATTCCTAGAAGAGCCAGAGAAGCAAGGCCCCATTTTTCATGATGCTGTGGCCGCCTTATGCCATTCCGGAGGCATAATGGGGGTATCCAGCTGACCGAACACCAGGGAAAACCATATCAGGATGCAGTTTTCCAGGTGGCTCTGTGCCAACTTGTTTATAGCCTTGGGCTCAGGGGAGTATGGCCAGGGGAGAGATAGAAGTGCTGCATTCTTGCTATTCTCAGCTGCCGCAACCCCTGGAGGGCTGTTGCTCCAAGAATAAGTCTGAACAGCCATTAAGTTGAGAGGGGACGATGTCAGTCCCAAGATCGTCTGGGAACAGGGAAAACATACAGCACAGCTCAGCTGGAATAAGGAATGGGGGCCACAGACACTCTAGCGGTCATCTCCTGTTTGCACACACTCCTGCATGCATGCTGGCTGTGTGGATTTAAAGTGTGTCTGTTTCATTCCATGTAACCCAGAGGCTTCTGTATGAAAATGAAATATCTAGCTGCCGCATAGCTAGCCTTTAAACCACTCGGGGACCTTTTACTGAACACAACAGCCATATCCTCAGCTGGTGTCTGGCTCATTGGGCCTGATCCTCAGCTGATGCAGCTTTGTTCTTCTTGGTCTCTGAGGACAGGACAAGAAGCACAAATGAGCTTAAACTGCAGCAAGGGAGGTTTAGGTTGGACCAGGGCTGGCCCACATTTTGGCAACTGAGGCGGGGAGCTCAAATGACACTCCCATGTCCCCTCGCCTGCCTGTTATGTCTCTTGTGCCCTTCTTCCTCCAGAACAGCACTCTACCACCACTGTGCATCTAGAGCAGAGAGAATACATATGCATCAGCAGTGGACACAATTTTCTACATTCTGGGTCCTAGTGGCACCCCCCCACACACACTCTGGCACCTGAGGCGGCTGCCTCAGTTCACCTCAT